CAGATCGATTTGAAAAACTGTATCTAAATCGCATCGTTTTCGATTTACTATTATTAATTACTATTATTATATAATAGTAATATTATTATAATAGTAGTATTACTATAATAATAATATAATAGTAATATTACTATAATAATAATGTTATTATAATAGTAGTATTACTATAATAATAATATAATAGTAATATTACTATAATAATAATGTTATTATAATAGTAGTATTACTATAATAATAATATTACTATTATTATATAATAGTAATAGTATTACTATTATTATTATTGTTTTCGGTGATTAAAACAATTAGCGATCGAATCGAAAGCGAGAGGTACGAATTCCACAATGAAATTACAACGTGTGCACTTCAATTGAATTATGTAATCGATGATACACAATTTTACGAATACAATGTTACCAGACTTTGAACTATCGAACAAACGTTTTCTCTTTAAATATTTAACATTCGTTCGACGAGCATAACTTTCGGTCAAGCTTCACGTAATTCGTTGGATCGTTGCGTGGAAATAATACATGATAGTTATGTAATCCCCGATGACCCCGAAGCGGATTTGTAAATTATCGGACAGATTTCAAGCACGTCTCGATAAGAACGCGGTTGCCGCGATAACGAGAATTTCTTTTAGGCAGACACGACGATTACGATCGAATATCTCTGTCGCGGCGCGGTAAAAAAAAAAGAAAAAGAAAAAACAAAAAACGATCGACGACGTTTCACTTGCCTTGGTTCAAGTGCAACATGGACAGCATGTTCACGTATTTCGGCTGTATACGTGTACGCCGGTGCGAAAAGATTTGCCCGACTTTCGAGAACAATGACTCGTTCGAGACGCAAATCGCCGGCACGCACAGATATTCCAACGCGATCTTCATCAGTTTCGGGAACATCGTCCTGCCCTCCGTGTTCCACCAGGAAATCGGGTTCGATTTCCTGTTGATCAGCTTCAGGCGTAGGTACCTGGAAATAGATCGAGTTGTCAATTTTTGGGAGGGAATTTTTACGTTACCTTGAATAAACGTTAATTAATTCGTCGAATTACAAAACCATTAAATAACCATTTTTTTATAATCATTTTTTTTTCTTTACATTATTCCAGCAATTATTAGACGATGGCTTTTATGTTTGTTTTTTTTTGTAGAAAAGGTTACTAATAAAATACAGAGCAATAAAAGTGTCGATTTTTGGGGGGGGGATTTTTACGTTACCTTGAATAAGCGTTAATTAATTTGTCGAATTACAAAACCATTAAATAACCATTTTTTAAGATCATTCTTTATGTTATTCTAGCAACGAAGTTTTTACGTTACTTCAGCAATTATTAGACTACTATAAATCAGAAAAAATTATTTTAGATTTACAGTTAACCCTTTGCACTCGAGCGGTGACTCTGAAGCACCGCTAAAATTATTGTATCACGTTCCAAAATAATTATTACATTAACAAGGTTTAGAATTAATAAAATTGTTAAAAGTGTAACCGTTGTTACGAGTCACCGCAATACTCAATTTCACATGCATAGAATGCACTTCGTCATATCAAATGAAAATACTATAAATCAGAAAAAATTCGTTTAGATTTACAGTTAAAATGGCTTCGAGTGCAAAGGGTTAATCATTCCCGTCGAGTTTCTCCTAAACCCGCCCGGCTCACCTTTCCAATTCGTCTTTCAGCGAGTTCGAGAGGCACTCGGTCTCGGCGGCGGCCTCCTGAACTTTCTTATCGAACTCGGCCCATAGAGTGTCGTTCGGCAGCCGAGCGGCGTTATCGTCGCCCTCCGGCTTCGTAGCGGTGGCCCGCGGGCCGCAGTAGCCGTTGCCGTTCTCCCAGAATCGGCACCGGCTGATCAGCTGATTCTGGACGAGCGCGACGGACTCGTCCGAGCGGAACGCGATGTTCTTGTACCTCGGGTCCAGGAAGGTCGCGACCGAGTAGACGGGATGAGTCTCGATGTTCTCGAACCGTAGGTCGAGCTCGTTCAACAAACGGACCCTCAACGAGGTCACGACGAGCGGCAGTGCCTCCTGGTTGCCGAGGGTGGCCCTCACGCAGTGCACGATCGGTATTATCTTCGATATGGCGACGTTGCTGTCGCCGGACACCTCTTCGGTGGCCTCGAACAACGGCTTCAGGACCTGAACCGTTCCGGCGATCACGGTCCATTCGGTCGGCGAGAGGCAGGGCACCTGCGAGGTGGTACGATCGATCATTCGACGCTTTTTATTGGAAGGCTGTGTTTGTTGACGGAACGAGAAACGGCCGTAGCAAAGGTATTTCCCTATTCTCTTATTCTCACGGTTCGTATTCTTTCTCTATTCATACGCGCTCCCGACTTCCTCGTTCCATCTATACGCTAATAATATTACGTTGATCGGTGCTTGGAACGCTTTGGAACGCTTCAGAATGCTTTGGAACGCTTCAGAACGCTTTGAAACGATTCAGAACGCAACACTGGGCTCCGCCTCCTGACTACCGCCGCAGCGTCTCGCTCCCCACGCTGCTTCCACTGACTCACCGACGCAGCGTCCCGCTCCCCGCGCTGCCCCGCCAGCTCCCCGCCGCAGCGTCTCGCTCCCGCGCTGCTTCCACTGACTCACCGCAGCAGCATCCCGCTCCCCGCGCTGCCCCACTGACTCACCGCTGCAGCGCCTCGCTCCCCGCGCTGCCGCCACCGGCTCACCGCCGCAGCGCCTCGCTCCCCGCGCTCCTTCGCGTTGCTAGGCAACGCGGAGAGCGCGTCTCGCAGCGTCTCTATAGTCGGGTAGTCGGGAGGCGGAGCCCGATGTTGCGTTCCGAAGCGTTCCTCGCACTGATCCTAGACTGCGGATCTTTATGCCAAATAAAAATCGTCTTCGTTAACCACACAATACAGGCATTGCGCAGACGTTTTTTGCATTTGATCCGCGCATTTAAAATGCATAAAATCCGCGGTCCACTCGTCACACGCGTCACAAACCTCAAGCTACACATGTGAACGCATCAACGCGTACTCCACGAACACAATTTTACAACACCTGTGACTGGTCCGCGCGCATCGCCGACAAGATAGATCGCTGATCCAGGATACCGCACAGCATCGAGTACGTGGACCTCCAGTTGCCGGCGACGTCGCGTTTCAAGCACGCAGGCTTCGACAAGTTCTGACGGGCTCGCTCGTTCTTCAACGCTTCGGCCACGACGTGGCTCGATCTGCAGAGGTCGACGATGTCCCGGCACTTCTCGAACACGTCGAGCACGCCCCTGGTTCCCTGGATCGCCTCGTGCACCGCCATGTTCAACGCGCTCGCGAAGCAGAAGATCTGCCGCCGCGACGACGTCGAAGCCGCGCTGCTCGCCGACGTGACGCTGTCCACGCGGTTCAGGACGATCGTTCTGATCTTCCCGGTGATCCTCCACATCTCCGCGGTCCGCTCGACGATCTCGTGCAGGTTCTCGGCGGCGTGCCGATCCGGCACGTACGACACCTGCGACCAACGGATGCGATTTCACGGACGATTAAGGGAGGAGATTAGCGCGGAGCATTAAATTAAATTATTTAGTTCAATTATTCATGTATACAGGGTGTTCCATAATTATGTTAATACTCGGAACGAAGTGATTCCTGAGGTGATTTCAAGTAACTTTTTCCTTAGCGAAAATGTTCTACGAGGCTTCGTTTACGAGTTATTCACGAAAAATCGCTGACCAATGACAGGCGAGCGCGGCTGGCGCGAGGCGGCCGAGCCAACGAGCGCGCGACGCCCAGCTCCGCCGATTGGCTCGGCCGCGTAGCGCCAGCCGCGCTCGCCTCTCATTGGTCACCGTTTGTTCGCCGATAACTCGAAAACGGAGCCGCGGATCGCATTTTCGCAAAGAAAAAAGTTGCTTGAAATCGCCTCGGGAACCTCCCGGGAGTGCCATAATTATGGATACTATAATTATATATTTCGGCACGTGTATACGAAGCGCACGTGTACCCACGCGTGTTTTTACTATCGAAACGACGATCCACACCTGCAACGTGTTCTCTTGGAGCGCCTCCTCGGCGAAATAGTGCGCGGTGATCGCCAGAAACGACATTTTCTGGTTCGCCTCTGTCCACGAGTCGATCGCGAGATGGATGCTGTCCACTCTGGACAGTTTCTCGGAGATGGTCTTGCACGTGGTCGCGTACAACACCGGAAGATATTTGGACGTCAGGGCGTTGCGGCTCGGCAGCGTGTACCTCTCGTCCAAGGTCTTCACGAAGCCGACGAATCCACGGCCGTTCACGATCGAGAACGCGTGCACGTCGCCGGCTATCATCAGCAGCAGCGAGTTCGTTATTTCTTGGGCTCGCTGGGAGTCCGTGGAGTACGGTTGCACCTTGTTCTGCGTCGCGGCGGTGCTCGATGCGGCCGCGCTGCTTCGGCCCGAAACGCTCGGCCGTTCCGCCTCGGCCGAATTCGACGCCGCCGACGCCGCGATGTTACCCAGGATCTTCTTGTGATGGATGCGAATGTGCGACCACAGGTTCGTCGTGTTCCTGCAGTACGGTAGCACCAGGTTGCAGGCGTTGCACTTCACCATCGTGCCGCAGCCGTGCTCGACGAACTCCGAGAAGTGCAGCCAGATCGCGCTTCTCTTCGCTCGCGCTTTAGGCATCTCGCTCTCGACGAACCGAAAAACTGTTCCAAATACTGCACTGGGAGACCTTTTTCTCGTGTCTACGAACTTATCGGAACGCGCGCCGCGTTTAATCTTCCGCGGATCGCGGTTACGCGTTGAATAAATCGCACGCGTGTCTGTTCGTCCGTTTGCTCGGAATATTCCGATTTTTCGATCCCGGCTCGCCCGCGAGCGTCTTCGCTTCTTTCTATCGGATATCTGATCGCTCGACGTTATTAGAAACGATCCTATCCTTATCGATAAGGTATCGATAATATATCGAATCCAGTTAAGATATGAACGCTAGGGACAAACAGCTGTGCAGCCGAGCCGCGCTACGTGGAAAAGAAGGAGTTCTCGAGCGCGGCTATTATTTATCAGCGCCTAGACAATTTCCGAGAACTTAGACGTCTTTTGCATGCTTAATTTGAACAGATGAGCGACGTTGGTTGGATTTAAACGATAGAATTTTATACGTTTCGTACGAGAAATGTGAAGCTAATTGTGCTTGAGAATAAACGAAGAGCGCGGTGATATGCTCGCTTTATGCTGAACTTACGCTAAGTATACGATAAATATACACTGAAAATATACTAAAAGTACGCTGAAAGCACGCTAAAAGTACACGATAAATGTACGGAACGCATACACGCGAGACAGAAGTCTGACCGAGCAATCTCCTAGCGGTGTACCTTGGGTTGTTTCTAACGACACCGGCACACTTGTCGTTCAAAGCGCTGTAACTTTGCGAGAAAAAATCGTAGCGACCTAATTCTGCCCTCGAATTAAAGAGGAAAGTCCGAGCTTTCCGACGCTGTGAACGGAATGCTCGAAAAAAATTTGTCCAGGTCCACGGAGGGAGTTAATCGTCGCGCATTCACGGTATCGCGAACATGTGCTTAGAATTAGGATACTATCGCGGCAGTGCGTGATATTAAAAATTAGGCTACGTCATCGTAAAGCAGAGACTTCGAGCTTTAATTTGAAACAAGAGTCATAATTTTGTGATCGCTTTTAACGGAGTTGCAGCTGTTCGAAGATCGACGATTTTCCGATCGGAAATCGGCGATGCTTTAATTTTGCCGTTTAACGTAATTTCGGGGCAAATGTTGCAATAACATTGATTAAAAATCCGAATAAACGTCTTGTTGTTACTTCAATAAGCTAATAATAGCGTTTAGTAACGAATCGACGGGATGAATATTGCTCGTAAACCAGAAACATTATATATTTTACATATTTTATATATTTTATATATTTTATATATTTTATATATTTTATATATTTTATATATTTTATATATTTTATATATTTTATATATTTTATATATTTTATATATTTTATATATTTTATATATTTTATATATTTTATATATTTTATATATTTTATATATTTTATATATTTTATATATTTTATATATTTTATATATTTTATATATTTTATATATTTTATATATTTTATATATTTTATATATTTTATATATTTTATATATTTTATATATTTTATATATTTTATATATTTTATATATTTTATATATTTTATATATTTTATATATTTTATATATTTTATATATTTTATATATTTTATATATTTTATATATTTTATATATTTTATATATTTTATATATTTTATATATTTTATATATTTTATATATTTTATATATTTTATATATTTTATATATTTTATATATTTTATATATTTTATATATTTTATATATTTTATATATTTTATATATTTTATATATTTTATATATTTTATATATTTTATATATTTTATATATTTTATATATTTTATATATTTTATATATTTTATATATTTTATATATTTTATATATTTTATATATTTTATATATTTTATATATTTTATATATTTTATATATTTTATATATTTTATATATTTTATATATTTTATATATTTTATATATTTTATATATTTTATATATTTTATATATTTTATATATTTTATATATTTTATATATTTTATATATTTTATATATTTTATATATTTTATATATTTTATATATTTTATATATTTTATATATTTTATATATTTTATATATTTTATATATTTTATATATTTTATATATTTTATATATTTTATATATTTTATATATTTTATATATTTTATATATTTTATATATTTTATATATTTTATATATTTTATATATTTTATATATTTTATATATTTTATATATTTTATATATTTTATATATTTTATATATTTTATATATTTTATATATTTTATATATNCCGTTGAACATAAATAAGCAAAGTATAATTATGCGAACCAAAGAAACTATACTTTTACGGTCCCGAGAGCTCCGACCGGGTGCCAGGTTCCCTTTAAAAATATCCAGCTGCATAAACGTCGGTTGTTCGTTATTAAGCAATAAATAATTGAGCGCGTGGAAATCGGTCGGAAGCGAACGCGTTATCCCTCTTAAAGCCGGCGGACGATCTACGGCACCGTTCGATACAGGTGGCCACGATAATTCAGAACTCTTTAAAAAGTGTTTGGTTTCGTTCCAATTATTAATACAAGCTGCTGGAAACTTGAACTCGTACGCGGCGTGGCGCGGCGCGGCGCGGCGCGGCGCGGCACGACGTGCATGTAAAAATTAGCGATGCATCCCCGTTGCACCGGGAACGGCACGCGCGTGTCTTAAACTGGGCCAAGTGCACGATAACAAATAATTCGTGAGCCTGACCCGATCCGGTTTAATGTACGCGGCACTGCACGGCACGGCACGGCACCGACGTCGTCGTTCTCCCGTCGCCGTCGCCGCCGTCGTCGCCCCTTTTTTAACGATATTTTATAACGCATCGATAGGTCGAAGTAAACGCGCACGTACGATCGAACGATTTAGCGGATCGGCCCCCGAAATTTCCGAATATCGCGTGACACTTTAACGCGCAAATTGCGGCGGCCGTTTCGAACGGGTACCTGCTACACACGGAGATCGGCCGGCCACATTAAAAACGTCGAACGCCGGATGATTTAATGGGCACGCTTCTCGATCGATTTTTAATCCACGCCGATTTTCTCCTGGAAATCGACCGACCGGCCGACAGATTCCGGCGAAAGACACCGCACCCGGCGTGTGCAACGCGAACCTCCGTTCGGACTTAGCTGAACACCGAACTCGGCGATTTTTTGGCAGGCGAAAAGACCTCCAAATGCTCCCGGAATTTCCTCGTCGGCTGTATCGAAATTTATCGCGCGCGCTGTTTCTGTAAACGATGACTTTATTTCGTGGGTGCCATTTTAATTGAACGTTTTCACGCATCGAAAGTCAATTATAGGAGATTCGGTCATTTCGCCGAGAAGTGTTTGGAATCGGAATGGAAACGCGCAGATCCGAGAATACTAAGTCGCGCTGAGATACGATTTTTTTTAGCCTCGAGGCTCGTTTTTATGAAAAATCGTGGCTGTTGGCGAAGAAAAAGGCTGCGGCTACTATTCGAAGGCAATTGGGAGGCCACGTGAAACGATTCGAAGGTAATTCGGAGGACATGTGACACGATTCGAAGGCAATAGGTGGCCACGTGACACGATTCGAAGGCAATTCGGAGGCCACATGACACGAACATAGCACAGAAAATTCAATATAAATTGGTCAAATTCGAGTGACGATAACTCCGCGAAAAATCATCCTACGATGATCACCTTTATCTCAAATTAAAGCTTGAAACTTCTACTTTCAGGTGCAGTTTCTTGATTACTCTAACATTTCCTAACCGATGTCTTATATACCGTTCGAAGTAAGTGTAGCATAACAGACATTTGGATGAAAACTGGCCACAATTAACCGTGACATAACTTCGCGACAATTCATCTTAGAATGATCATCTCTATTTCAAATTAAAGCTTGAAACTTCTACTTTCAGGTGCAGTTTCTTGATTACTCTAACATTTCCTAACCGATGTCTTATATACCGTTCGAAGTAAGTGTAGCATAACAGACATTTGGATGAAAACTGGCCACAATTAACCGTGACATAACTTCGCGACAATTCATCTTAGAATGATCATCTCTATTTCAAATTAAAGCTTGAAACTTCTACTTTCAGGTGCAGTTTCTTGATTACTCTAACATTTCCTAACCGATGTCTTATATACCGTTCGAAGTAAGTGTAGCATAACAGACATTTGGATGAAAACTGGCCACAATTAACCGTGACATAACTTCGCGACAATTCATCTTAGAATGATCATCTCTATTTCAAATTAAAGCTTGAAACTTCTACTTTCAGGTGCAGTTTCTTGATTACTCTAACATTTCCTAACCGATGTCTTATATACCGTTCGAAGTAAGTGTAGCATAACAGACATTTGGATGAAAACTGGCCACAATTAACCGTGACATAACTTCGCGACAATTCATCTTAGAATGATCATCTCTATTTCAAATTAAAGCTTGAAACTTCTACTTTCAGGTGCAGTTTCTTGATTACTCTAACATTTCCTAACCGATGTCTTATATACCGTTCGAAGTAAGTGTAGCATAACAGACATTTGGATGAAAACTGGCCACAATTAACCGTGACATAACTTCGCGACAATTCATCTTAGAATGATCATCTCTATTTCAAATTAAAGCTTGAAACTTCTACTTTCAGGTGCAGTTTCTTGATTACTCTAACATTTCCTAACCGATGTCTTATATACCGTTCGAAGTAAGTGTAGCATAACAGACATTTGGATGAAAACTGGCCACAATTAACCGTGACATAACTTCGCGACAATTCATCTTAGAATGATCATCTCTATTTCAAATTAAAGCTTGAAACTTCTACTTTCAGGTGCAGTTTCTTGATTACTCTAACATTTCCTAACCGATGTCTTATATACCGTTCGAAGTAAGTGTAGCATAACAGACATTTGGATGAAAACTGGCCACAATTAACCGTGACATAACTTCGCGACAATTCATCTTAGAATGATCATCTCTATTTCAAATTAAAGCTTGAAACTTCTACTTTCAGGTGCAGTTTCTTGATTACTCTAACATTTCCTAACCGATGTCTTATATACCGTTCGAAGTAAGTGTAGCATAACAGACATTTGGATGAAAACTGGCCACAATTAACCGTGACATAACTTCGCGACAATTCATCTTAGAATGATCATCTCTATTTCAAATTAAAGCTTGAAACTTCTACTTTCAGGTGCAGTTTCTTGATTACTCTAACATTTCCTAACCGATGTCTTATATACCGTTCGAAGTAAGTGTAGCATAACAGACATTTGGATGAAAACTGGCCACAATTAACCGTGACATAACTTCGCGACAATTCATCTTAGAATGATCATCTCTATTTCAAATTAAAGCTTGAAACTTCTACTTTCAGGTGCAGTTTCTTGATTACTCTAACATTTCCTAACCGATGTCTTATATACCGTTCGAAGTAAGTGTAGCATAACAGACATTTGGATGAAAACTGGCCACAATTAACCGTGACATAACTTCGCGACAATTCATCTTAGAATGATCATCTCTATTTCAAATTAAAGCTTGAAACTTCTACTTTCAGGTGCAGTTTCTTGATTACTCTAACATTTCCTAACCGATGTCTTATATACCGTTCGAAGTAAGTGTAGCATAACAGACATTTGGATGAAAACTGGCCACAATTAACCGTGACATAACTTCGCGACAATTCATCTTAGAATGATCATCTCTATTTCAAATTAAAGCTTGAAACTTCTACTTTCAGGTGCAGTTTCTTGATTACTCTAACATTTCCTAACCGATGTCTTATATACCGTTCGAAGTAAGTGTAGCATAACAGACATTTGGATGAAAACTGGCCACAATTAACCGTGACATAACTTCGCGACAATTCATCTTAGAATGATCATCTCTATTTCAAATTAAAGCTTGAAACCTCTGCTTTAAGACACTGTATCTTGATTATAAGTTCCATGCACCCTCGCCATTATAACCCTTTAAATTCGAAGCCATGTTCGTCATATTGAATATCGCCGAGTTCGACGAATCGCACGGACTTTGGACAATTTTTCTCCGAGATGCCGTTCGCGGCAGAACGAAGTTCGATCTTTCCCCTTTAATTTGATGAAAAAGAAACTCGGCTGCGATTTTTTCTCGCAAAGTTACAGCGGTTTATAGTAACCCTTGCGTGTTCTCCAATCTATGGTACGAAT